TCATAGCGATCCTGATATGAATGCATTAACTATTTATTGCTGCAATGTACTGACCTCTATTTACAGATTAATAATGAAAGAGGGAAAGTGGTATTTACAGCTTCTGGTGACTCCTTTGATCTCTTTGCAATCCACTAAAAAATATATTAAGAGAAATATTGTGTTCCTTTGAGGACTCAAAGTTTAAGAGATCCTAAAGCTGTTATCTTTCAAGTAGCTCCCCTAACTGGAACATGAGTACAACCCTCCTCATAGAATTTCTCCATACATCATTTTAAGTAAAGTGGGGATCAGCTGCTGTCCTAAATGGATCAGTGAAACTGGGATGAGTCATCTCTGAGGACCCCTCCAACTTTAAAAAAAGTCCTGCCATGCATAGCAGTGAAAATGGTCTCTGCCATATACAGGAGGCATAAGATAAGAAGACTGTTTTAATTGAGTCTAATGAAAAAATGTGTGTGTGATTTTCTGTGCCAGACTTTTGGTCTTATTTTCAAGCACTGTGATGTGGAATGGATGGATAGAAACAATAGTATTTTGGGGTTTTAATTAATCCTTTCAGGACTGAAAAATAATAATTTTGGACAGGACAGTGCCTTCGTAAGACTTCAAATTACATCTTGGACTGGGCCTGGACAGAAACAGGAGGCTTTTCCTTTAAGGTAATAAAAGGCCTTCTTTTGCTATGAAGCAGTAATGTCAAATTTAAGCATCAAAGAACTCTAAGTTGTCCAGTGCAGCAGGGTCAACAGACTTAGAGGTTTACGCTGTGGTTGCACCTAGTTAACTGAAACAGAATCTGCCTTAGCAATATTAACACACTGCTAAGATATCTTTTCATCAACTCTTGAAATGTTCCTGTATCCGTGGAATTTTCCCAGCTTCTGAAGTCATGTGTCAAACCATTTGTAATCTGTTGAAAGCTATTTGTGACCTTTCTTTAAGCTTGAGAAGAAATAACTCAATCTATTGGTTTCATTGCCAGAGAATTCTGGAAAGCAAGAAAGTTCAGAAGTAAAGAGAGAAGAAAGGCAATTTTTTTTTCTCTTGACCTTTGAAACCATAATGTAATGTTAATTTAATCTGAATTTCTTGTTAACAGCTATTTCATAGGAATTTCTGGAAATTGTATTCAATCAAACGTTTATAAAAAAGAGGAGGTCTGCACATATCTGTTCCCTTTCTCTCTAACTCATTCTCACAACATGCTCCTGACTTTTTACCTTGTGTTTATACTGCATTTCATTTAAAATCTTTTAAGTGAAAGTCTCTGCCTGTATTTTTAAAAATGAAGAAAATAAGTTTTATATTTACCTTTATCTTAACCATTTCTTGGGTTCTACCTTTCTTTGAGTAGATCAAGAGGAAGCACTGGGAGACAGAGAGAAGGGTGGGAGGGAGGGGTTGAAAGACAGAGAGAGAAGAGAGAGAGTGAGAGAGGGAGGCAGGCAGAGAGTCGAGACAGAGGCAGAGACAGAGAGACAGACAGACAGAGACAGAAGATGCCGAGTGGCCTGTCTGTTCTGGGATTTCTTTTCTCGGCAGCCCACCTATTGGTGAATATTCTAAACTCATTCACGAGGTTAAAGGGAAGAGCACTGTGAGTCACAGATCCAGCTGACACTTCGTGGTGGACCTGACAGACAGACTCTGGGCACTCTTGGGTACGGCAAGCAAAGAACTGCAAGTGGACATCCAGGGATAGAAGAAACAGCAGCTGCAATGATGGAAGATGACAGAAAGACATGCTCAGGGCAGGTCCATGCCAACAGAAATAAAAACGGTGGCATGCACAAGAAGCAGGGAAATAAAGCACACACAGAAATAGGGCTTTTGGATTTAAAAGAAGTCCAGGTGCCTCTCACTGGTCCTCTGGATAAGATCGACAGAAATGACTGGCAGGGGCTTCCAACATGCACGCCTCGCCCAAAGTTCACTCCAATTAAATTACATATGTGAGATGCACCTGTAGGTAGAAACCCTGAACAAAGTTTGAATGGAGGAAGATTACTAAAAGTCAAGCCACAAGATCTAGTGCACAGTCTCTGGTTAGGAACTTCAGAGATTTCCTAGATCTTTGTTATTTTATTTCTGCTTCCCTTAGGACAGAGGAAGGAGGACTGGCCCTAGGATGTTGCCCAAATTCAGGTAAATGGGGGAAGAGTAGCCTCCCAGCCCCAATAGTGCTACATGCACTACAGCGAGTTGGTACCCCAGTTCTAGGAATGAAGTACAGTGGAGTTTAAGGAAGACAAAATGCAGCACTCTGAAGCTACTCAGACAGACCAGCCTTGTCTACAGTTCATGAGTCAGTTGACCATGAACAGGAGTTGGCTGGACGCTTTCCACAGCCAAAGCAACCAGATTCTCTTACCAAGGCCAGAGGCCCATTTTTCAGAAATGAAAGCAGCACCCTAAGAGTAACAAGCTAAAACCAACCAGACAGTAAAGTTGGTACAGTTACTTGATCACAAAGAATGACTGCAACCAACCTTCAGAGTCACCGATGACTTGGTGTTATGGTTTGTGTTTAGATAATGTTTGTCCTGCTGGGTTTTGGACTTGTCTTGGTTCCCCAAAGCCTCATGCGGATGAGGTGGGACTTTCTTTTTCAGAAGTAGTTGAATCTGGAATATGTGAGGCTTGGATTAAGGGCATGTGATTACTAAATCACTTTATGTGAGCGATTAGTTTGGCTACCTAATCCTGGTAGTCTGAATAAGATAAAAGGGGCAGAAAGATGCTGTTAAACTTGTCCCATGGTGCCATTGATACAGTGTGGGTGCCATAAACTGCCTCACTTGTTACCTTTGCGGCTTTGTGTGTGCCATGTTGTTTCTCCTCTGTGATGCTTGTTTGCCGTCTCAGCCTTGGAGCTACCGATTATGGACTGAAACCACTGAAACCTCTGTGAACTGTAAGCAAAATAAACCCCTTCCCTTTTAAGTTTGGGTGTCAAGTATTTTGCCTCAGCAATGAGAGAAAAGTAACGAACACACTCTATGACCACAAGTAATTTATCTGTTAATTATCTGTGTGTCACAGGGCTGCAGACAGGAATGCTCCTCTGAGACATATTTGGTCTGATTAAAGAGGTAATGTGGCAGGAGATTAGGGCGTGGCAAACTGGCTGGAGTGTGGGCATGACCTGTTAATTATCAAGTTCTAGGGCACCTATGTAGCACAGCCCCCAAAGCCCTGCAGGTGGAGCCAATCAGAAAGTGCTGCTATGACTCACAGAGAACTTGCAGAAACAGTCTCCCAATCCTTTTCATAACTCATCCAAGTTTTCGAATACAATGGCCTAGGCCTGGCATCAGCCTGAGGAGTGGAAGGTACAAAATGACAGTCAGCACTGAGCACTCCACCACTGTGTTCTCTTCCACAGCAGTCCACCCTCACACTAGAGTGTGCTTTTCCCCTCCTTCTACTTGGCCCAAACTCACTCTGCAAAGCATATTTCTTTCCTTACCTGTACTAAACGTAAAACCTTGCTACCTATTACACTTGTCTTGACCAACAGGAAGAACCTAGGACCCATCTCTAGACGGAGACTCCAGCCCCAAAACCTGGTAATAATACTAAAGTGCAATCCAAGTTCAAATTTGTCTGCACCTTTTCCTTCACACAGTAAGCATCTCCTGAACTTCTGGGTCTGACAAGGCTCAAGCAGAACCCCTTCATTTGATCCAAAACCATCTTTAGATTTTACTGACTTTGAACGCAAATGAAATAATGCTAAGAAGCCAGCGAAGCGCCAAGGAAATTTATTTTAGCCCTATTATCAACATTTCAGTGATTCTCAAAGTCTACAGTAACTCTTTCACTCACCTCATTTTTATTTCCACAGCCTCAGGAGGAACTAAAAGTAGTTATACACATTTCAAGAGGTCAATGCACTGTTTTTGGAATCTTCTTGTGCACTAACGTTTCTTAGGTTGCTGTACCATTCTGAAAAATAAGTAAGAGTTGATATAGCCTGGCATTTTTACAAAGCTGAAGTCTGGACAGACTGTTGTTTCATTTCCTTTGATTTTGGTCTTGGTTTCCAATGTCAGAAAATTCAGTCACAGATATAAAGCACACTCCCACTGACCATGTACTACAACTCCATTCTAGCATTTTTAATATTAAAAAATACATTTTCTGTACTTTTATATGTTACCCAAGCATTCTAAACTCATGTCGCTCTTTTCAGATCAGGATTCTTGTAGGAAATATCTTTCTTATCAGCTATCTTGCTCTGGGCTAGGGTCAAGGAAAAATGAAGCTGGAAGAAAAGTTAAAAATAAAAAAAAAACAGGGTGGGAAGCCGGGCATGGTGGCGCGTACCTGTATTCCCAGCACTAGGGACTGAGGGGCATCTTGTTCTGGGCTAGGGTCAAGGAAAAATGAAGCTGGAAGAAAAGTTAAAAATAAAAAAAAAACAGGGTGGGAAGCCGCACATGGTGGCGCGTACCTGTATTCCCAGCACTAGGGAGGCTGAGGCAGGAGGATCGCTGTGAGTTCAAGACCAGCCTGGGCTACATAGTGAGTTCGAGGTCAGTCTCAACTACATAGTGAGACTCTATCTCAAAAAACAAAAAAACAGGGTGAGAACATAATATCTAAGATACAGAAACAACTGAAATGTCCACTTACTAAAGAATTGATAAAGAAAATGTGATATGCATATGCAATCAAAACTTATACAGCCTTAAAAAAGGAATCCAGATAAGAGGATTTAGAAGGCACTGTGCTGAAAAGTAAATTAGACACAGGAAAAAGTCATGATCTTGCTTATTTATGGAGTATTTTTTTAAATACGCAGAGACAGAGAAAAAAACAGGGTTACCACAACAAGAGCACAGGAGGAGAAGGAACAAAGGATAAATCTAGATCAAAGGATACGAAATAGCAGATGCCTTGGGTGAACAGGTCTAGTCATCTGTGGAAGGCCCAATAGGAGGACTGAGGCCCAACTGTCCTCCTCGGGGAGCTCTGAAAAGAAGGAGAACAAGTGTGCAACACGCTGCAGCGAGAAGTAAAACACGTGAGAGGCTGCGGTTTACCTGGAGAAGGGCCGTGGAGGGTGGGAGACGGATGAATTCTGCGTAACACTAACTGCTTGGGCCCGGGCCTGAGTGAATAAGGTGGAAGTGCGCCAGTCACTCCAGGCTTTCTGTCAAAGGGAGACAAGAAGTCCCTGGTCCTCCAGATTTTACCCCGATTCCGTGTCTACTTTTCATCCTTGTCACCTCTTGGTCAGGTTCGAGCTTGTAGGCTGGTTCCTGCAGAGCTCTAAAATATAAGAACTCATGTCAATACAATTGTATTGGGGATTTTTACTAAGTAAGTAGATTTTAGCTGGTCCTAACACAAAAAAGTTGCTGTGTGAGACAAAAGATGTGTTAATGCTTCACTGTGGTAACTGTTTTACTACTATATACATGTTATAACATCATGTCCTAAGTCTCAAATATACATAAAGCATTTGTAATCTCTTCCTTATAAAGAAAGCACTTCAGAAACTAAAGTTTAGCTGATGTCACAGAGGACCCTAAAGTTTTAACAGCATCGAAAGTTAAAATATTCTAGACTTTAGCCTCAAATCCTATGCAGCATTTGAAAACTTACACCCATTTCCCTTCATCTGCAGATAAGTCAGTATCACAACCAGCTTGGGCCTTGGTTTGTTTCCCTTTCCCTGTATTCCTTGCCTGGGGCATGATACATGCTAAATTCCCCTTAATGTGTTCTTGAAGCCAGTCATTTATCAAGCTGGGATTACAGAAGTGGGCCTTTAAAAAATGTAATTCAAGAAGAAAAAGGAAAGGTTTTCAGAATGGGATGTGAGAGTTTTTATTTGAGTCACTTTTGGCAGAGTGAAAGTCTAATTGTTTCGAAGATTGAAGATCATTTTGAATTTGTTGATCCTGGTTCCTGAGGATAAAGAGAAAAGAAAGAATATGAGACCACTTCCTATTACTTTACAGTTTGCTCAGCACCGTGAAGGGTAAAGTTTGATAAAGATAACAGAGAATCCAGAGACTGAAGAAAGTAGACACAACCCCTAAGATCAAAGAGAAAGAGGGTATAAATAGATAAAGAGAGATTCTTCCTGGGAGAAGGAATTTCAGGCCGCTGAAGGGGAGGATACCATATGGAGAGGGCCTGGGGGAGCACTGAGGCCCATTCTACCAGAACAGCTGCTGGAAGGACGGCACCCTCGCGTTTACATCCGCAAAGCCCGAGTTAGAAAGGCAGCAATTGGTGACGTAAGACTGAAGTCAAAACCTAGTCTTTGTTGACTTTCTGGGCAAGTTACAGTATTAGTATTACTTTACCTTTTGTTTTTGCAACAGAGTACAATGCCTTGATGTCTCATATTTAGAGGTTACACCAAAGGAAAAATAGAATTAAGAATTCTAAAAAGCATAATGAATATATATCTCAGTTGAAAAATACAGATAAGGTAGGGTTTTATTTGTTGTTTTGTTTTGTTTTTTATCGTACCAGGCCCATTTCTTGTTGCACCAAGCCTAAGTCAAGCAAGTTTATTTGGTGAAAACTGTAGTCAAGTTTACTTCTTAACAGTATGGACCACTTTCAATAGCCCATTTATAATACTCATGCTCACAATAAATGGAGTCACCTGCCTCATAAATGAGAAAAAGGAAGATAACAAAGAAAGTGTTTGCAGCATATTACAGTTTAGATCTAAAATGCCTCTCAAAATTCTCATGTGCGTGGAAGATGACTGGATTCATCCACTGATGAGTTCAGTATCAGAACTTGCTGTCAGGAAGTAGGGCATGGTTGGAGGTGGATCCCGGGGGTGTAGCCTGGAAGAGTGTGTTCTTGGCACTGGCTCCTCTCTTTCTACTTCCTGGCTGCCATGAGTTGAGCAGCTTTTCCATCCCTGTCCCCCTCTGCCATTTTATTTCCGCCTTGGAGTCAACTGACCATGGACTGAAACCATCAGCCAAAATAAACGTTTCCTCCTCTAAGTCGCAAGGGTCAGGTATTATGTCTCAAAGACAGGAAAGTGGCTAAGACCTAGGATTAGCAATAGAGGGGAAAACTATCACCTGTCTCCTAGCAGCTGAGTCAACTGAAAATGAATAGAACCAAGGCTTGAGTTTTTCTTAAAGTTATGTCAGAGCAGATATTTCAAGGATAATTGATTAGGGCCTATGTTTGAGAAAAATTCATCATCATCATCATCATCATCATCGCCATTTTCTCCTTCTCCTTCTCCTTCCTCTTCTTTTCCATCTTCATCTTACTGTACTTGGGGTGTGAAGCCAGTCTGGTAGGGGCTGATAGACTTGCCTTCTAACTCCCTAGTCAGTGAAACCATTTCCTAGTTCCCATTTCAATTCCAGAGCAGGATAATCAAACCAATTCTGTTTTATAGTCATAAACTACCAGCTTCTAAATGTATGCTTTGTTTCACAAAACGAAATTCTGTGAGGCAGTGAGGATAAAATATTAAATAAAATATTAAGAAGAAACCCATCCTTATGATTTGAAGAGGCAACTTTGAGTATGCCTTACAAATCGTTGCTCAGGACCATTATTTTCATTTAAATTTGGTAAACAGGGATTGCCTTTTATGTGTTGAGTACTAGTCCCAGTCTTATGAGGGAGACTGGGTCTCGCCCTCATGGAACACAAAACTATATGGGAAGAATAATGAAAAATATATGCAAATCCTGACTTATGGCTTACCGTGAGGTTACAGCTCAATGAACTCATCATAAGTTGAGAGCAGTGTTAGCTGGAAATGCATTTAACCCCCCTAACCTACTGAATACCAAAGTTTAACCCAGCCCACTTTAAACGTGTTCAGAACACTTACACTAGTCTACAGTTTCATAAAATCACCTAACACATTTTATAATAAAGTGCTTTTTTATAAGTTCTAAATGCTTCATGTAATCTATGAACAGTGATATTCAAAAATTCCCAGCAACACAACTCAAAAACAACTCAGGAGTACCAATCATTTACCCACAGGATTGCCAGGCAGACTGGAGCTCACAAGGAAGTTGCCCTGGAAACTGATACCCCAGGAGAAAGTTTGGTTCCAAATTCTAAGTCTGGTTTTTACTGAAATGTCTCTTGCTTCCACACCATTACAAAGCCAAAAAGTAATAAGAGAAACCATGATAGGGTGAAGACCTGGGCGCGATAGCTCTCGTCCGAGAGCAATTTCCCAGAAACAGGAAGAGCAATGAGTAATGAGTGTCGGGTGGAGAGCTGTCCGCCGAAGCAGGGCCCCTAGGCATGGTGCCAGGGCACCGCCTCAGTGCACTGTTTCTACAGATTGCTACCCTAGGGGAAGAGAAAGTTTACATCGGGAAGCAGATGTCTTTATAATCCGGTAGAAGTTGCCTAACTGTGACTCAAATAAACAATAAATATCCTGGAAGAGTAATTATCTATTAAAAGTTTGTTTGAAACTTCATTAGTTAGCAGTGTGTCTCCTCACAAGCCTAACATGACATGTACGTTCTACCTAACAGATACTCATCTTATGGATAGTACGTATCTATAAACAGGGTATCTGCTGTTTTGCAGGGAAGAGCAAGAGACTTTTTCAGACTTTACTCATTAGTATGACGCAGATAATATTCCCACTTGACTGCTGAGGCTCAGTTATGATAACGGTCTGAAGTGCTTTGAAAACAGTTTATTTCTTTAAAACATAATGCAGTATTGTGATGATAATGGTGATGACGCATAGAGAGATAGAGATAGATGATCAGTCACAGAGAATGGACAAGAAATGCTTTTGCTATGTTTATACTGTTTTTATATCAGTGTTATTTATTAAACATCCCAATAGCTTGTGCTCTTTTTAAAAGAAGTATTATTATTGTTATTTGAACTAAACAGAGTTAAGGTAATCCGGTCCAGCCTTGTTTTGTTTTGTTTAAGTATGTAATTTAAGAAAAGACTTCAACATCACTGAGGGGCCAGTATCTTACACCAAAAACCTTTGCATCATCCTGGACTCCTCTCATTTTCGAACATCCTGAACATAATCTGCTGTAAAGTTATGTTGGCTCAACCTGTAAAATATATACAGACTCCAGCTCCTTCCCGTCAGTCACCTAATTTTTCACACCCAGTTCCAAGTCACTGTCACTTCTCACCTCAAGTCTTGCAATAGTCTCTTCCTCTGCTTCCATTTTTGCCCACTACAATGTGTTCCCAAAGGAGTCATTCTTTAAAACTTGTCAGTCACGCCATTCCTCTGTTGAAAACTTCCGAATTGCTCCTCATGATACTCTAGAAGAAGCAAAGTTCCTTACAAGGACCTCTCGACACTTTGCCCGTCCTCCCCGGCACATCTTCCCCGGTTCCCTCTGCTCCTTGCTCTTTTCCTGTGAGGCCTGGCACCTTGCTGCAATGGGTAGTGGAGACCAGCTGGACAAGCTGTGGACTCCCCACTTCCAGGGGTGCTGCTCACACTAGCATCTTTCTGGAGGTGCCTGTGTA